TCTTTCTTTCTTTCTTTCTTTCTTTCTTTCCTCTGTATCACATTCCCATGTTTATTTCCTATCTGTAAAGGAATCTCAGGGGGAGGACCAGTTATCTGGTTGTGAGAATGCTGTCATTTACTCATACATTAAAAATAGGTTCAGGACAGACCTCAACCCACCCCCAAAATGCTGTTCACTTCAGAAGTACTTACTTCATTTATGCATTTAACATCCACATATTGTTATGAGGACTTCTGCAATCATTGTTTTATACAATGGAGCAACATTTCTCCCACTGATGACCCTACCCAGGTGCCCCTGCCAAGCTCTGCTATTGCCTCCACAATTGCTCTTACATGAGACCTCAGGAAAGCTGCAAGTGCTGGTCTGGCAGCTCCTCCCCTCAGATTAGCCTATTAGGTAGCACTGAAACTACTGAGGTAGAACAGAAGTCTCCAGTATTTTGACCAGTAGGTATGACTAGCCTTTTGAGAACATGGTATGAAGATCAAAGGAGAAGTGTGTGCACTCAGAAGCTCCAGAATGGAACTAAGCAATTTATTTAGATCATAAAGATGTGAGTTTATTCTATATCAGCATTTCAGGTACATCAGATATTAATTATCAATTCCAAATACAACATTTGCCTTTTGTTTTTTTTAATGGACAAAGCACTCTTCTTAATATAAATATCCATTTTTATTTTCTGTGAATGCATATGGGTTTTCGGATACATTTTGGGAAAGAAAGATAATTCTAAATATTGGTGCTGTTCTTTACAGTATACCCAACTTCAGTGGTTATCTATTTCCTAGATGCCAGTTGTGGCTGGGTAGCAGTGCTGGCAGTGTTCATTCAGATGTCTGTGTATAAATAAAAACACCTAGAGGCAGATTCATGGAGGGCAGCACCCATCCTCCTTGGTGAAGGAAAGCCAAGAGGTTTCCTGAATATGAGGAAAAGCCGGACCTGTCATAACCTAGGTAACTGGTCAGCAGCACCTGGTGATGTCAACCATGTGGACAACCTTATTAATAAAAACTTTTTCTTGCATCAGTTCGCCATGCACACTTGTAAAAACTAAGGCAAGAATTGTATCCTTTCTTGTTTGTGTAATGTAAAAAGGGGAATTAAAAAAAAATCATGAGGTGTAGAACAGGAGAAGAGGAAATTTAAAGTCAAGGAAAAAGTGGAAAACAGATCTGCTATTTTGTAGATATCGTATTATAGCTGCTGTTTTATTATTATTACGTTAAATGTAAGGTGACTATGTTGCATCAAAATAATGTATGTAAAACACTGGTAAAATAGCCTTAAAATATAGGAATCCTACATGCAAGCAAGCAAACAAAACAAATGAGAATGCACATAGGAAAATATTCTGGGAGAAAACATGTTCTATAACATTAGCTAAATTCAGAGCAGCTGGGGAAAGGATTCCTAATTATTCTTCCTCCCTTCATGTGTCCTAATTGGCACTTTTTTCCCCCCCAGTCTTGCAGCAGTTATTTTAATACTGGTTGCATGGGTGTCCAGCCATACTTTCCCACCAGTGGTAGTGGAGGGTCAAGGAGGTTGGTTGGTGGTCTAGGCTGAGTCAATAGATCACCCTGGGAGGAACGGAAGGGACATCTTGTACGATGCACATTTACTTTGCTACCCTCCCTCAACTGCTAGTAAAGGAGCAGGTAAACGCATTCACATTCAAATGGTCAGCTACAGATGACATTCATATTTATTTATTTATTTATTGATTGATTGATTGATTACATTCGATTTATTGTCCGCCCATCTCCCCCAAATGGGTAACTCTGGCCGGCTCACAAATTACATATCATACAATTATACAATTAATTACGCTGTGTGCCCGGCAGGGGTCGCTAGGGGGTCATCCGGGCTTTTCCTCCTCCGTAGATCTTCCTCACCGCTCTAGATCTTCCTCGCCGCTCGCTGCTCATGCCGGCTGCATTTGGAGTTCAGCCAGCACCGGTATG